ATCAAATCTGAAATCGAATCTATTGAAAATAGATGGAAATTACATTTAGCAATTGTGATAATATAAAGCGAATACGTGAATGTTTGAGCAAAATATCCAAAAAAGTTCAATTTGGAAAATACATTTAATAATTATAAATATACAATTTGATAAATTAAATAAAATTTGATTTAATATTCTTGTTGATAAAATAAATTTTTAAAAAGATATACATATAAAAAAAAGTCAAGTAAGAAAGCTCTAGCAGAGAGTGATCCACTCAACCTCTGATATCCCCCGAAACCTTTCGAAAAGCTAATATTCCCATACACATAACATATACATGGCATACATAAGCTTGCGCTCTGCTGACTGCGCAGTTGACGCAGCGACTGCGCTTGGACTGCATTTTGGGCTATGTCTGGGACTTATTTGTTGAATAACTTTTCTTATAAGCCTACTTTCGGAATGAAATAATGACGTTATATATGTGTATGTTATTTGCCAAGCCACAAATCTCTCTTACTTGAAATACGTTTTTTTTAATACCCTAAAACCATTGAAAATGGGAAATCAGGGTATAATGGTTTTCTTGGCAGAAAGAGGCGTGGCAGACCCCACAAAGTATATATATATTTGATCAGGGCGACGAACTGAGTCAATTTAGTCCTGTATGTCTGTCTGTCCGTCTGTCCGTCTGTCCGTATGTCCGTCCGTCCGTATGTATGAACGCGTCGATTTCAGAAGATATAAAAGCTAGAGACTTGTTTTTTTAGATTTGGAGGTTAGGCCGGATTCGGGACCGGCAACATGAATCTAACTGCATAACTTCGTGACTATAGCTCCAAAGATGATGATGATGATGATATAATTTTATAGCAGATTTTTGAAGAGGTTCTTAATGGACAACATTAAAACAGTAAAAGTTATCGATTTTTTAAAAATAAAGAAAGTTTCTAGCTCGTATAGATTCCGAAATGCACTCATTTCGACAAATGGAGAGAGGGACTTACGGCCGACAGGGCTGAATCGACTCAGCGAGTCGCCCTGATCATGAATATATAAGCTTGCCACGCCTCCTTCTGCCTGTTATATACCCAATTCATAAGTCGTCAAATTGTTAAAAATCGTTTTGCACATTTAAAAATTTAATAATTTTTATTTTATTCTTTTTGCTTTATAGATGATTTATGTATGATTAGTCCTGGTATGCACATACGGATATATACATGTGTATGTCTATAGATTGCGGGGCTTGTGGAAATCGGTGTACGCCAGTTTGCGGCGGCTCATTTTAACTATACGATTTAGCAGTAGCCGTTGGGGTATATATGTATGTATGTATATATGGTATGTATGCATATGTAGTTGTGTTTGATATAATTCGGTCGCGGGTCATCTCTCTCTATCTCTCTATCTCTCTCTGCTTCTATGCTGTGTCTACACAGACAAAAGCGGCAAATGGATAACAGCGACAAAGAAAGCAAAATTTGGATTTGTGCGAGTATATGGGGAAATAGGTCTGTGCTCAATTGTAGCATATATACATACACATGTGCGTGTGTGTGTGTGTGTGTGTGTGTTTGTAGACGGTAATCTCATGTAGCTGACAGATACATAGGTACCTTTATGTAGTATGTGCACGTACTGTATGTCTCTGTGTGTGTACGCACAAGAAAAAAAGCGAATCGGAATTTGAATGTGAAGCGGTAGACAAATCCATGGAATGAGTGCGTGTGAGTGGACTGTACCGTTTAACTAAGTATATGAGTGTATCTCAGTGGGAGTGTGTGCGTGTGTGCGTGTGTGTGTGTCACTTACCCAATAGAATCTCCACAGTTGCCTCACTCATGTAATCATGACAATCAAACGTGCGTCCATCCTCCGCACGCAGCTTCCGCACCACATTGCGCGAGTTCTCGTTAAACAATTCAATGAAACTCTTTAAGACATTCAAGTGGAATGTGGGTGCGATAAGTTTGCGATGAGCCCGCCATTTTTGACCTGATCGAAAGGAAATATAGAAAAACGAGTAAGATGAGTAGAAAGGAAGAACTCAAAGGATACATACTTATATCTATGATATAATCTAAGACAGCTTGATATATACAAATATTGAATGCTCAATTCTTATATCTGATATACATTGACATACCTACTGAACTATACCTATGATCTTTAAGTGTAATGAGAAGGGACAAAGTTTAGCTAAGATGATTATAAATAGAAAATTCGAAAATTCGAGATAACTGATTCAGATTGATGTAGGTGGATCGTCATAGGGCATATGTTCAGTTTGAACACTATGTGGATGAATATGACAGAGATCAAAAAGTGAAAGGTCGTGGGAAAGAGAAGGCGAACGAGAGAGAGAGAAAGAGAGTTGTTGCAGAAGCCAGTTAGTTAGAGTTAGATAGGGATGACAATGGCACATCAGATCTTTCATCTCTCACACGCTCCCTCTCCCTCTCCCTCTCCCTTTCTCTCTGTGCTGTTCTTTGTTTGGTTTATTTATAGCCGCCATTTGTGCGGCGTTGTTGTGCCAACTGTCAGGCTTACAAATCGTTTTATTAATTTATGATTCCATAAACGCAATTTAAATTGCATTAGCTAGTCGACAAAGAGTGAGAGAGAGAGAGAGAGAGAGAGAGAGAGAGAGAGAGAGAGTGGCAGCATATCAAGCATGTCCCTTCCTCTTAGCACACTCACACACACACACACTTGGACTCACCTGTGCTGATTAGGAGGCCATCGCCCAGCCAAGGCTTGAAGAACTTGTACTCGGATGCCTTGTCGATGTATACGTGGCTGCTCAGGAGCAGCTCGACGTCGCGCGGATCGTAGATGAAGACGACCAGCTTGGGCCCGATCCACATTTTGGCAATGTGCTCGAAGGGGGTGCTCTTGCGAATGACTGTTTTGAAAACAGCTGTAAATACAGGACACAGGAAACAGGATACAGGCTACAGAATCGAGGCTGCTGCTCAGCGAATTGCATTGAACCTACACGAAGCGGGCCCAATCACATCGAACAGATGCCCCACAATGGGCAGGCCGCGCGGTCCCGGCAGCCGGGCCGCCAGCTTGTAGAGATGGGCGCGAGAGAGTCGCCAGTAGATGTACCAGAGCACCAGGGTGGGCAGCAGCAGCAAGTAGAAGACGCTGCTGGGCGAGCCCACAGCGGCATCTTTCTTCAGCACCTCCATTGAGGTGGAGCACACACTCTCAACTAGCTAGCTGGCCGATACGGGCGAACGCAAAAAAATAAATCACACACAGAAAAAAAAATAAAATAAAATAAAAATAAATAAATGAAGAAGAAGCACAAGTGTACGGACGCACACACACACAGACACACAGGCACGCACACCCGGGATGCGAGACGCCACTGCGGGCACACGGAGCACTGAGCACTGAGCGTAGGCGGAGACGAACTCAAGCGCGGAGCTTAAAACATTTTTTTTATTGCGCGCGAATTATTTTTTTTTTTTTTTCACTATTATTTTTTGGGGTTTGTCTCGTTTTTTTTTTTCTGTTATTTATTTTGTATCTCTTGTTTTGTTCCGGATGCTGCGGATGCTCGTCGCTGTCTGTCCGCCGCGATACTGATACAATTGCCAGCCAGGCGTCGGGCGATGCGCTTCGGCAGCAGCACAACAAATAATAATAACAGTGGCCACAATAATAATAATAATAATAGCAGTAATAATAACTCAACTAATATTATTTACAGAAAGCAAAGCAAAGCAACAACAAAATTCCTATTCAGAGATAAAAAAAAAGTCGAAATGAAATGGAATGGGAAATGCTCGCCCGACGTTGCACGCTCCACGCTCCGCGCTGTGACTAGTGGCTGGTGACTAGCCGGCGGCGGCAGTGCGCCCGACTTTTATAGCCAACAATGTGGCAAGCGGCAAGCGAATTGGCGAATTGGCGAACTGGCGAACTGGCCGCTTGGCAGCTGGCCGCATTGACGAATTGCCGAACTGACTGAGTGACCAACTGGCGCCGATCGACAGCCAAGCAGCCAGGCAGCCAGGCAGCCAGGCAGCCGGACGTGCAGTCTTTATCAATTTCATTCATTCAAATTGTGGCGCGCATTGCCCCGTCTCACTCACACACAAGTAAAAACCTTGCAGTCGGCTCTTACCGACTGCTGAACACCCATTCACAGGTCAAAGAGCGCGGCAGCCTTTACCCAATTGGTATACATATTTAACCTATATAAACACTATTTTAGTGAAAATCAAAAGAAAAGTCGCTAAATTCAAACATTTTCTAGCTCCAGAATTTTCGTCGCAATAACCGTACGGACGCTATAAGCGGAGTCATTACAACCAGATTCTACTATAGTTTTACCTAATTATCCTAGCGTAGATTTATATACATATATATCCGCCTTATCTGTTTTGAATTAAATTTATCAACTCGAGTATATATTCCAAATTTAAACTCTCTAAATCTTCACCTACTATGCTTTTTGAGCTATCGTATTTTCAAGACTTTAAGGATTTTCCAACCTGACACTCCAGGGTAATAGCTTAATAGTTTATAATTCAAATATTCCACCATTTATAGCTCAAGTATCCTATCGGGAAAGTCTTAGCCATTTATAATTCGAGTATATCTTTCCAATTTCCATCTCTCTAGCTTCAATGCATGCTAACAGACAGAAGAATAAGACTTAGGGACAAGCAGACAAACGGACGTAGAACAACACGTATATTACACAAAACCAATATACTCATTTCGGCTGCGGGAATGAGCATAGTAAAAGCTTGGCTACCCATTTCCCAAAAGCTTCATTCAAAATCAGTCTCATTCGCAGTCTCAGTCGCAGTCACAGTCTCTGTCTCAGTCGATCTCTCTGTCCCTGTCTCAGTCTCAGTTTCAGCTGCAGTTGCTCAGAGTTGATTTGCGCTTAGTTTAAGTCTTTTTTATTTTGTTTATTTTGATTTGGACATTTATGCATGATTATTTTTAGTATTTGTTACCTAAAGCTAAACAAAAAAAAAAATTATTTATATATGTATATGTATATATCTATATATAGATATTCCATCACTTTTTGCCATAATAAGTAAAAGCGAGGCGCGATCAATAAGTTGTCATTTGCCAAGACTAGAAAGCGCTCTATTCTGATGACCCTTGCAATTCGAGTTATATATACGTCGATCAACAGTAATAGTCAATAAAAAAATCACATGATATGTGAGCTAGTTGAAATTATATGAGATAGTGAAAAAGTAATTTAGTTGGGCTTGTCTGGCTAGAAAATAGCCTGACATAAATATGTCTAATTGTGTAGTGTCCAATATTTTGGTTAATCATTTAAACTATCCAAAATTACCTAAATTCATATAATACATTGTGCCTTGCTTCTTTATCGTCTTTGAATTAAGCCTAAGGAACCCTGTGACACTATCGATATTTATCGATAATATGAACACTAGAAGCGCAATCGCTATCGACCTTGACACAGGAACGCAGATGGCAGTGCCCAGCTATGAGCATATGTAAGGGTGCCATCTATAGGGCTTATGAAAGAGATAGCTCCTGAGCGACCAAGATGGAGACAGACCTGGTAGTATGAGGTTTTTCTTGTTAAAGTAAACATATAACGCTCAGCTCATTTTGATTAAGCAGATATATATTCCCTAAGTACCCAGTTCACAAATCTATAAAATCTATTGAACAGGGAAATTTGCAAATTTTCACAATTCTCTGGGGAAGCAATGAAGTATATTTTTAGCTACCATCGGAAGTTTCGCTTGAAATTATCATAACTACTTATTGATCGGCCCTCGTTTATAGATGTGACCACAGTGCGTATGAGCAATACTATTGCCCAGACATTTACAATTAATTAGATTTAGAAATTAGCTTATGGAAGTCGTTGGCTGGACATCACTGGACCACAGGGGCACAGAGCTCACTGATTGCTGCCCATTGATAGAGATACAGCTAAACACACACGCACACACGCACAGTCGTACACATACAAACTCACTCACTCACACACACACACACACAAAGATACGTGAACAGTAAATGGAAGCATAACAACAACTATATAGAAACATTATGCAAAGCCTAACTAAATACAAAGATCTCTCTCTCTAACATATGATATTTCTTGGGTTGTGATGTGCCTAGGTCTAAAAGTATGCTATAGTACTAGGTGTTATCGATGTTGATGATGCGCTTAGACGGACGACTCGTAGATGACGATTTGCAGCACCTTCGGCTTGCTGTTCTGCGCCTCCTTCACCTCCTTCAGTATGGCATTCGTGATGGCCTCCAGTGCAGCGATGTCCGAATTGTGCTCGCTCTTCTTGTTGCTATTCCACTTGGGCATGGAAACCTGCTGGCACACGAAGGCATTTATTATTCAACACTGTCACAGTGTGCATTAGCAGTGGCTGTAGCTGCTCACTTCACTTACAGTTAAAACTTTTTGCAAAGTGGTGTAGTCCAGGCCCGTGCCCGCCGTTTCGCCCAGGCGTCGCAGTGTCTCCGCCATTGGACCCGATAGCTCCTGTAAGGCAAGGTGAGGCTTGAGTTGAGAGGGTGGGGGAGGGGAGGGGAAGAAGCACACTTACCTGCAGCTTGGCCCAGCTGGTCGCGTACTGGCGACGCACCAGCTCAATGATGGTCGAGGTGAGCGCCAGTCCAATCAGTATATAGAGTGTGCACAGCAGCATATAGTTGGGTTTTTCTGTGCAAAGAGAACGAGAGAGAGATAGAGATAGAGAGAGAGAGAGAGATAGCTCGATTAGCTGTGGTAATGCTTTGATTGCGACTAACGTACTGGGCACCAGATCACCGAATCCGATCGTTGTCATTGTAATGAAGCAAAAGTAGAAGCCATCAAAGAACGTCCAGTCGTCCTCCCAGAGCAGCAAGAGCCCGGCGCCAGCTGCCAGATAAACACCCAGAAATCCAACTGCCAGAATGGCATAGAACCAGGTCTTGCCGATGAAGTTTGTGAACTTTGGTTTCGCTGCAATCGATAATAATCGTTATCGTAATCGTAATCATACTTTGCAGTACTCCACTCACTTGGCATGTGCTTGCCAAAGACGGACACAGCGCTGGCAAAGAGTCGACCCCAGTCGGCGATGACGGTCAGCGTGAAGGGTATTCCGATGAGTGCGAAACAAATGCAAAAGACACGACCGCTCGTCGTTACGGGCACTATATTGCCATAGCCTGTAAGAGAAAGAGAGACAGAGAGGGATGAGTAACGTGAGAGAAGGAGAGMAGCTCTCTGAGTGAGTGAGCGAAAGAACCAATTAAATTATTCTACTGGAAGATGCAAATTTGACCTCTATATTTAATTGTTGTACTCACACCTATATAATAGCTAATTATAGTCGTAATTAAATAATAAATGCAGTTTATGGGAAAACTTTTGTATAAAAATTGAAGATCTGATGTTTGTACCCAACCAAACTCTATATTTAATTGTCATATCCATAGCTATGCATAATAGATTTTGTATTTTAATATTAATTAATGATGACATATTCCAAAATTAAATAAAATGGAGCAAAAAAAAAAAAGAGAAAAGACAAACAAATTAAGTCAACAGAGCTGCTGCTGATTTATTTTAAACAAATTGCCGACTCTAGCGAGGCGGTGACAGCCCAGTTAATTTTAATTAACATAATAATTGAATTAATTGAACAATAATATTAAATTGCAATTATACAATGGTTATAGTTTAAACAAGAAACTTTGTACACTTATGCATTTATCTCTAATACAACTAACAGATATTTTTAAAATGTTGCTTATATATTGAAATTTTTTACATAAATTGAGGGTGTATACATAATATACTTTTAGACGCAGTGTCGAAATACCATAGATTCTATGGTTCATGAATTGCTTWCTAATTTTTAAAGAGGAGTGTTTTATACCTTGAAATTAAATTATCGTAAGCGTATATACATAATCTTTTAATATATTACGTAGTGCAAGTTTCTTCGATAACTTATCCTGTCCTCGTAGTATCGATTAAAATTGACAATGTTACTTGGTTTACATAACTTAAAGACTACAGATTTTACTGATATCAAATTATATATCGATTTTTACTATAAAAAAGTATATAGACCATGTAAAATTTACATTTTCTTCCTATAAATGAGTACATAGACTATGTATAATTTATATTTTGGATGCTACTCAGATCTAATTTAAATTTCAGATAATTTGATTCATTTGCACATTCTTAGGTTAAATTCATATATAGAACGTAGCCTAAAGTAGAGTATCTTCTAGTCAGGCACTACCGTCTACACTTGCCTTTCATTTGACCCACAGTTGAGGACTTACCTATAGTGGTTAACACAGTTGATGAGAAGAACACAGCTTGCAGTATGCTCCAGCGCTCATAGGGCTCTGGAAAGTCTTTATCGGCTACGATAAGCAGCCCGCCCTCGGCCGCCTGTTGTACGGCCTATTGAAAAGAAGAAAAGAAATCGATTAATGATGTATTTATGACTTTGTTTTAATAGACATCTATAATGTATAAGAGCTGCCTAATCAAAACACAATGAAAAAAGTTCAAAATAGCTAAAATTTTTATTGTATTGCTGTAATTTAAAATAAATCATAAAATAGAAAGGAAACAAATAACTGCCCAAAGTGCTTCTCCTCATATGTCTGACGTCAAGTTTGTCATAGGTATAAAGTTGTCTTTATTGATTACAGTTATATACTACTAGCACTACCATGACTATAAAGACTTCGTCAAGACTGTCCGGACTAGCCCTTCGATAATCTGATATTCTAAGCATACTACGCTTCATCATCATTCCAGTCATCAATAGAATGTGTGAACAGTAATATAGTCGTTGAATTTTGAGCTGTTGGCTCTAAAACTGTAGGAGATATATAATATCAGATTTGCCACGCCGTCAACGACCTTAGATATATCCGCCATATCTTTTTGATTTTGTGCCACCAATACAAATATACATTCCAAATTTCAACTCTCTAACGCTTCAACTACAGTGATTTCTACCATATGCCACGCCCCTATTGGGTGGATGGGGAACATTTTGATATGGTATAATTCTACGGTATACAAGAGTCTATGTCTGTTCCAAATATCGAGTCTTTCATATGGATAAACGATCACCGACGGACGGACGGCGCGAAGAAGATTCCGCAAAACCAATATACTCATTTCACTTGCGTGAACGAGTATAAAAAAATTAAGTAAGAAAATGTAGTCTAAGCTTTTCTGGACTATATAATAATAATTATGCAACACAATATTTTCGTTAAGATATTATTAAATAATAACAATACTAATACATACAAATCGCATTATAATGAATCGCTAAAATATGCCAAAAAGTATGCAACGAATTTTGCATACTGTGTTTCTATTGCACTTACCGCTTCATATTTGGCCAGTTCGAAGGAGAGCAGCTCATTGAGATTGTTCACCTCGGTGTTGTTCAATATGGTGCTCATGAAGCGCTCCCGCTGCGTCTTGACCACGTCCTTCAGCTGGGTGAGGCGCGCCACCTCCGCGGGCCGCTCCAGATGGCGAAAGATCTGCGTCAACAATGTGAAAAATGGGTACTATTGCAAATTGAAAGGCTACGCTGCATTAGCATTTAATTAAAGTGCGCCGCATAATAAATGGCTGGCACCAGCAGGCCGGGGACAGAGGGCCACCGAGATGAACGCCATGGCGGCCCTGGCCGGCATGCAGACCATGGGAGAGGGGCGGGTCTACAGAAGCAGAGGGCTTTGATGGCATCACCAGGGCTATGACTGTGTGCTAAGGCAGCTATGTGCAATTTATTGGCATTTGATTGATGGCCAAGGCGATTCCACTCAGCGCTCTCTTTGCTGTTGCTGTTGCTGTTGCTGCTGTTGTTGTAATTATACCCTGTAACCATTTAATGAGCTCTAAACAGATCGAAATGCTCTTCTATCTTTATGTTATCATATGTTTAGTCTGATGATCGATACAATTGATAAGAATGTATATATCTGTCGACCCCAACCAATAAGCAGAAATTCAAAGCGTTACAGGTATTTCCAAGACTATGAAGCAGAATCGAAGAGATATTTTAATAGTGTACAATTTGTGGTCTATCTATAGTTGTTGTCATATATCTATAGTTGGTTAGATTTGTGGGTCTCGATCGGGAATAAATGTAAACTTCACATTCCCTTCAATAAATACAAAAATTAATTCTACCAGAAAAAAAAAAAAAAAAAAAACAATCGAGAGTGCTTTAGTACAGACTGCTCGACTGCGATCTCCCTTGAACTTTTCGAAGAATAGTTCTTCCAATAATTCTTTTATTCTTTCTTTCTGCATTCACAAAAAGAACAAAACACACACTCACACATTTGAGAGCACGATTTCTCAGGTACCAAAAATAAAATAAAAACTAAAATTGTATAAAATAACACGAGTCTCAGCTTCTTATGTACGAGATATGATTTTATAGCTAATTATACCTGAAACCATTAAAAATGAGAAATCAGGCTCTAACGTTTTTTAGTCTTATAATCGATAACACTAAAGCTAGAAAAGTAATCGATTTTTTATATTATACTATATCTGCGCCTGCTATATAGGAAGCCACAAAACAAATTTCAGGTTTCTAGCTCTTCTAAGTGCTGAGATTGACGCGCTCATACAAACGGACAGA